GAGAGGGTTGGCAGCTCACTGATATATGGTGGAGTGAAGCTAGGACTGTCGCAGTAACTACAACAATGAACCACAACTGCACTAGACGTCACGTCATGTTCAGACTTTGTTTTTTAAGTCAAGAGCGGAGACACTGAAGAGACTGGACACAGCGGAAGCAAAGTGCTACTAAATATCCTTCAGTTCACAGCCCAGAATCACAATATCACACAGGAGGAGGAAGTCACACAGCCTCACACACTCTGGAAAAACCGCTGACTGGAAACACCAGCAGTGTTTCAGAAAACACCGACTGGTCTGCTGATTATCCGTGTCAGTGTTTGTGATTTCCACCTGAATAAAGTCGCTAGTTAGTAAACATATTGGGCTAAACGTTTCCAGTTAACAGGGTTCATAGACCCAGATGGAGGGAGATACAGGTGATTGGTACAGGCAGGTAACTTATCCCGCTGTACCCCTTACAAAGTCATTTGGAAGAACAACAAAAATGGCAGTTATACAGCGCTGCTGAGCCACCATAGAAGAGCCACAACCTCTTCCCATCCCTGGCAGACTTTCTGGATCAATCACCTTCAACACAGTCTTGCAGGTCTTCTCATGGCGGGTCAGGTTGGACAGGATGGTGCAGATCTGATCTGAGAACAGGTATTCTGGATCCAGAAGGTTCTTTAACAACACTGGAAGAACTTTGACATCTGCCACCAGAACCTGAGTGAGACAAAACCAAGAACAGACAGTAAATCTGAAACATCTGTAAGGGTCTGTTAAAGCTGTTTTATTTGTCAAATGTCTGTTACCACAACAGCGTCTCCCTCTGGGACAGTTGATTAGTTACTTATTAATAACTCATCAATATGAGTTCATTTAGAGCGGACTCTGCCGATCGATCAAAGACGGATCACCTGGTGCAGAGTCTCGTCAGCAGACAGGTTGATGAGGATGTGGTAACAGTCCTTCACTATAGCAACAGAGTGGTCGGATGTCAGAGCAAACAGGGCAGCGAGTAAGTCAGGTTTGGAGCGGAGGAAGCGGCAGCCATCCCTGAAAACAAACACAAATAAAAAAAAACCAAAGGCGGCTTTAAGTTAGAGAACTATCAGCTGAGAGACGGAGCTCAAGAATGTAAATCCATCCAAATAAATCCTGAAAACATCAGCTGAGTTTCCCCTCAACAGGGTCTGAAACATAAAACTGCTTCTTTATTACATTTAGTTCCTCCTTTTATTGGTATCTTACTTACATAATATTACACATTATTAGTGGTGCATTTTCATTAATTCACTACCAGTAGTTATAAGATATTATAGGTTATTCATAGCTACTCTCCTTTTACACGACAGTCAGCTCAATTCTCATATTTTACCTGTCTAAATGTTACATTTTAATGTATGTTTAATGTATGTATGTTTCGTATGCTACTGGATCCTTGAATTTCCTTCAGGATAAATAAAGTATTTATCGATCTATCTATCTATCTCTCTATCTATCTCTCTCTCTCTCTGATCATCATCTGTGATATGAAAACATCTGTAATGTTCGTCCTAATATCCAAACACACTGTGGAGAAACTCTCAAGTGTTCAACACATTGGAGGGCAGTGGACGAGACGGGTTCAGGGTTGGTTTAATGTTTGTATCGGAGCAGAGAGAAGAAACGAGTGTCTATTAATGGCATCATCATCATCATCATCATCTCCATCCTCCTCCTCCTCCTCCTCCTCCTACCTGTGTCCCGACAGTCCCAGGATGTACTCTATGGCCTGGTTTTTGACATCAGGACGTGTCGAGGGGGTCAGGAAGGAGAGCAGCTCTGCAGCCTCAGAATCACTCAACATCTTCTAACAGAGTCTGAAAAACAGAAATAAATCCACAACCAACCATCAGCAGAGACAACAACACAGAATGATACTGACATACTTACTACGAGCCTCAGTGACTCATCTGATACCAGCAAAAACAAACTTTACTGTACGGTTTTGATTTAATACCATATTTTAACATTAATGTTAACAGTGTGATAAGAAACTAAAATCCTGATTTAGGCTGGTTTTTATAGGCTTTTACATAATAATGAAGTAAAACAAAAATAAACAACACAACAATGTAGAAATACTTCATTACAAGTTAAAGTCCTGCATTTAAATGCTTTAGAAAAAGCACAGCAGCATTAACAACAACTACTTCTGGCACAGAGAGAATAAACTCTTATGGTCGACTATTTCTTAAATTAAATGTAATAAACTATTAAAATCATGTTGATGTGACATTTGTTAAAGCCTGTAGCAGACAAACATCTTTATTTATGTTTATTACACTTGGCCATATTGTGATTTCTATAATATTAAATAATTATTCAGCTCTATTAATTGTTTATAACTGTGTAAATGACAATAAATCACATTTCTAACATGTTCAGGCTGTAATTATCTTCATTTAACACATTGTTATTACATTGAAGAGTAACTGCTGCTGTTTGTTTGTGTTTATCAAGGTCACATCCAGGTTGTTGTTTACATTTAGAATAAAAGCACATTTATAAAAGCTGGACACAATATAAACAATATTAGCATCAGCAGCTAAAGTGTCATTATAATAAATATATATAATATATAATCCAATTTATTTCCACATGAGGTCAAACGTACCTTGAACGACCTACAGGAGATCTCCAGGTTTCATTTCTTCCACCTTTTAATATATTAAAGCACTAATATTAAACAGCCTGTGAAACGTGGGCACATGTGGACACCGCCTGTCTTCCTGGTCGGCTTCCTCTTCTCCTCCACTCATTTCCAGCGTTATAAACGGTGCTGAGTGGACGTTACCGCCCCCTAGTGTCCGCTACGTGCAGTGGTCTCTGGTTGGAAACAGCTGGATCTGATTGCAGCTGGATAAAGTCCCAAACTTCACTTTAAGGACATTCTGTACCATCTGAGAGAGGCAGAAACAATCACAACAAACACTCTGTTCATCTTATTTTAAATCTGAATGAATGAACTTGACACATTAATACGAGTCCCTCAATCTCTTTCTTTCTTTTTCTTTCTTTCTTTCTTTCTTTCTTTCTACACGCATGTTTCTTTGTTATTTGATATTTATGATAAGTATAATTTATATTTATATGGGATCATCAGACATAAAGGTCAAATGCTTCGACTTGTGTCAGATCAGAGACTCTAAAGAAAGTTTAACTGGGACATTTCATATTATCATCTCCGGGCTTAAAATCCTTATTTTACTTGAACAATTTATCATTAATTTTCCAGAACAGGTAACTTTGTGATGTTCAGCAGATTAGGAGTAAAATGTTTCTCATGTATAGAGATTTATGTGATAAACCTTTTTAAAATGACGCACTTATAAAGAATAGTCACAGTGTTCAAACCTTATGTGAAGTACAACTTTAACAAAGATCCCTTTGTTCACAGTTGCGTTCAGGAACCGTTCGCCCGGTAGGTTTAATGCCACTCCAGAGGAGGACAGACTGAGCTTGTCGTGTGATGGAAAATGAGAATTGAGGTTCGCTTTATGTCTTCCTGTCCTGACTACGAGGACATAAAGGACTTTTTTAAAGTAAAACATCCATTTGTGACGATTTCTTTTGCCTTAATGATGAAAAACTGCTTCAAGAAGGGAACATTTCCTTTACTCTTTGTGCCAAACTTGCGAGAGAAGGCAGAATATTTTAAGACTGAGTCGTATAATTATCTATAATCTATGATTTTGTAATGGAATTAAATGTTTGACTCAATGTGTTGTTTTGGTTGAGGGTTGGGCAATCAATCAATCAATATATGGCCTTGTCAGTTACATTTCTGCCTCCATGTGTTTGTTTTTTAAAGTATTTTATGTTGGTAGTTCTCTCCATTGTGTTTAATAATAATAATAATAATAATAATAATAATAAAGTTGTGGACTTTCTTCAGCCCACAGAGGCAGCCTCAGTATCAACAACTGTACTCTGGTCAGATGTTTTCTGAAGATGTTGACCTGAAAATTGCTGCATCATACACAAGAAACATAAAAACAGGCTCATTATACTTTATTTTACTGTATATAGTGTTTATATTTTATTATATTGTCTTTATTCTTTGTACTTCATTCGCCTGTGCTGCTCTGCCAATTTGAGAATCTTAGCTTTTCTTAAATGATCTGATCCAGTAATTATCAGGTCGTTGGTATTTCTTTCACCTCTTTAAAGACTGAATACCATTAAAAAAAAAACCTCTACAGAAACACTTTAGACTGAAATGTGACTTGAAATTGTGAAAAAATATGCAGCACCTAATATCTGTCTGTTTTAAAGACGTTAAAAGCGACAGCCACTAATATAAAGTAACAATGATGCAATAGCGCCCCCTATAGTCCATTAAGCGGCTGCAGCTTTGTGTTGACGAATACGCACGATTCCCAAAATGTTTAATTATTAAGTAAATGAAGGTGATAATAATTTTTTTTTGTGTAAGAACTAAAATCAATGAGCAACAAGTAGTTATTTTTACCATCAGCAGTGCTGTGGAATAATTTCTTCATAAGTGCACAGGCGACACAGGCGACACAGCATCCTGGAAATAAATACATTTAACAAATTTTTGGTGAGAAAAACTAAATTTAAATTGAAAACTTTGTTTACAATAAATATCCACAGGGAACTTTTAACTTGAAATTAGCAACAAGAGTTCCTCTTTATATGCAATGATGCACATACACACAGGAGGACGGATTCCAGTCAGCGTCTTAGATATTCTTAAATATTCCCTGAGAGGTTTTAAACCTCTAGTTTTCCCTCTGTAGCTGTTTTTCGATGAGTAGGTCAGTATTTTTCGGTTACGAGAGCCAACAGGTGGCGATAATGTGCCAAAAAAATGCTGCAATGTGCTAATAAATGGAGGAAAATGACAGAAAGATAATTAAAGATGCATCTAAACAACGTAGGATTTAAAATAATTAAAAACTTTTCAACTACTTTTAATTACAGAAAAAAAAACTCCACAGGTCTCCTTTAAACCTTCCAAACTACTTTATTGATATATCCAAACAACACATATAAGACATTCACATACTTTAATTCCCATCAGCCGAAGCTCCCACTCACTCCGAATGTTGCATTGAAATGCTGATATTGCATATAAACGTTCTCGATTGTTGCCTTCGTTACAGTACAGCGTTCACCTTCTGGTTAAAACAAGCTACAGTTCGACCTCCACTGACTGAACACTTGGGACAACAAATCGGGCAATTTTTCCTCTCAAACAACCATCAAAGAATCAAACAAAACGCTGGTGAATGTTTTTAAATCTTTTAACTCGTGTAGATCCAGCGCAGCAGGTACTGAAAGCAAAACATCTCAACAATAATGTAGCTGTGGAGAAAAGGCCTGAGCCCGGAGTTGTTGTACTTGTGATTGTGTCTACAGTCAGGGAAGTGTTCCTACATGCAGATCCAAGGCTGGTGGGTGAAAGCACCGCCCCGGGATCTTCCAAAGGATTTTAAAAAAGAAAAGGAGGTCAGACACAGTGAAGTCTGTAGACTGAAGAATGACGCTGAGTCCTGCACTTCCAACGCTGAAACATTGGATTTTTTCCTCAACAAACACACACACACACACACACAATGTTCTTGTCACACAGATTTCAATAGTACTTCAATACCTTTTTAAAACTCAGCATTTTTAATTCAAAAACATATCTCACCAAATATGTGTAGTTTGGAAAGAGTGAAGAGAAGAAAGAGGAATGGAACAGCATCAGTCTGGATTGTAAACAGATAATAAAATATATTTCATGAAGTCGTCCACAACGTGCCGAAGTGGATCCAAGTCTGCGTAATCTGCCTGGAGCCGGATATTCACCTCCCCGACATCCCGCTCCGTACAGAGCGTTTCAGCGACTCAGAGTATCTTGTGATTCTGGGTTGTCGTGGTATCGTAGCACTACTGAATTTATTTCGGCACTGACTGTATCAAAGTCTAGATCTCCGCATGGCGACTCCCACGTTCAGGACTGAGAAAGAGGCATCAGAAGGCACTGTGGAGTTTATGTTGGCAGACAGAGATCAGCTGGCAGCCTCTCTGTTGGCTCAGGGTGGGGAAAGTCCATCATCATCATCATCATCAATCAACATCTTCACCGTCCTCCTCCTCTTCACTCGGCCTTGTCTTTCCTCTTGGCCGTGAATGGGACTTTGCTGGCTACCGTGGAGCCCACCGAGGAGACGCCGCCGGCCACGGCGGACACCCCGCCCTTCACCAACCCCACCCCCATCGAGGGCACCGTGGTCACGGCCGACTTGGTGATCTCCAGGCTCTTGCCGCCCACCCAGGCCACCCCGCCCACTGCGGCGCCCACGACTCCCTTGGTGACATTGAAGAGGCCTCCAGTCACCCGCCACATCATGCCGGGGGCTGGCGCCACGTGGTCCTTCCCAGGATCTGGAAACATAATCAGACATACATGAAGCTTCATAATATTCAGGTTTCTAACAACATGAAGGTTCGTTCCCACTGAAAGCCTCAACGATCAGATCTGATCTATTACTCAGATCTTTTGTTTGGTTGTTCACGGTGTTTCTTCATTGTGGCTCATATCAGATTTCAGTGTGAAGTGATGAAGTGACATAATGAGTGTTGATTTAGAGCTGTGGTTCGCAACCTTTCTCCTCAAGGGACCCCATTTAGTAAAGTGACGACTCCCTATAGGGACATATTTTTAAACTGTACCCATTAACCCAAAAGGAGAATTCAGTCTCTACAAGACGTTTGTGTAAAACAAGAGATTTCTATGAATTTTGAGCAGATTATTTCCTGTTTAGGGAACTTTTTATACAATTTTCTGTCTTTATTGTGTATTTTTTAACAATCATAAAGACTTAACAGGCTTCTTTTTTGACAAATTTAGTGTTCTCTTTTCCCTGACAATTTTTCTATCAGACAATTGACTTTACATTTACAAGTGATAACTGAAAAGATCAGATCACGCTGTCACATAGGAGCAAACATTTCTTATCTCAATAAATCCCATTAAAAGCCCCAGTTTGTTAGTCTGCCTCTCCATACTGTCTGACTTCTGTACCCCGACACTCCTTCCTACTGAAGTCCTGGTCCAGTGTACAGTGTGAGATAGAAACCTGAAGCCACCAGCGTACAAACACTGAGAACGGACTTTACAGTGAAGGAGGAAACTTTACATATTCATAGATTCTGTAAGTTTTAATGAGGTAGAAGGAGAAGATTCCTTTCTAAGGATTTTGATGTAGAAACTTATTACTTTCTACACATTTTTGTTCCTGTTTGTATAATAAAAGTCTGGAAGAGATATTTAAGTGTTAAATTATTACATTTTCCGGGCACCATAAATATCTGTACTCATGTCTATGCAGTAGGTGTTGAAATATTTTGCAGATGGCACTAGAGCATGAGTGTCTGGACCAAATGTCGTCTAATATTTGAGATATTTCAGGCTGAAACGTTGATATTTGTGGTGTTAAAATAAACTATCCAGGAGTGTCTCTTTAAAATCTGGTCTGACCTCTACAGTTTCAACCTGGTGAGTAAACGCTCATCAGGACTGATTCGTACGTTGAACCACAGAATTACTCTTCATCCTATAACAACAGAGCGGTTTACTGAGAGCAGCAGTAAACTGGTGCAAAATGCCTCATCGTTCAGGACACAAATAGCAGGTTGGAGCTGCAGCCGCTGTTACACAAACACAACTCCCCTGACAAACCAACTGGTTTCTGAAATAGCAGCGGGGCAACATGTGAGCACCGATTGCACCATATTCCCTGCTGATGTCTCGGGTGTTTAGCCACAGCCCGGGGAGCTCTCTGCTTACCCTCTGTAGGTTGAACGCTGGAGGGTTCGGATTCGTCGAGGGCCACGCTGGTCCCAGGCTGAGGCTCCACGTTAACGCTGTTCACATTCTGGAAAACACAGGATAAAAAACCCCCCCAGGCTTTTATTTACTCTCTATTAGGGAACTGCAATGTGTGTCTTACTGAAGTCTGATTGATTACAGATTTTAGATCGTATTTCACTGCTTAAGACAACATTTAAAGGGCCACTCCACCAGCTGAGTGTAACAGAAAGCCTGTGTTACAAACTGTGGAGTTTGAAGGATCTGGCTCTCATGAAAGAACCCTATTCAACTGCATTATGGGAAATGTAGGCACATGTGTTTTTGGAGCTTGAAATCAGGATATATTTCACATATTCATGTGAATACCCAAACTTTATATAAGTGCAATATTTAATCACTTTCTGAACATCTTGAGGGAAAAACATATTTAAATTTCTCAATGTAAGGCATCAAAAAAGCGTCATTGTGGCATCAGTATTGAAACTAAACGGTATCATATAGGCTCTAGTTCCCAAAATAAACCCCCAGTCCTACTTACATGATGACAATGGAAGTCAAAAACCTTTTAATTAAGTCCTGAAAATAAACTACGGACTGGAAACTGCACACACACAGTTTGTGCTCGCAGGAATTTTCTTCTCCTGTCGCTCAGTGTGTCACATTTTAAACGTGATAAATGTAAAAAAAAAAAAATAAAAAAGGCTCGCTCTGTGCAAGATGATATATCTATTTAAGATGAACTACAGTCTGTAGTCTGTCTCACCAACTGAGCCCACAGTCAAAACGTTATCTAAAAGATACTCATCACACTCTAAAGATAGTGTAAATTGTGAAATTCAGGGCTCTTTATTTATTTATTTACTTACTTACTTCCACCTTGCGAGTGTTTTCACGTTCTTCCATTTATTAAATAATAATCTCACCTGAGTTTTCTGCCTCTTTCTTTTATTTTTAAAGGTCCCTGATGACGGAATAATAACACAAATTTAGCTCCTTTGTTTGATAAAGTAAAAGAAATGCTGGTGGTCACTGAGCAGGAGATCCACCTGACTGGTGTTTTAACCAGTGACCCTTCAAATAAGGTGATGCCTCCCTTTTCGTTTACAGGTGAATATAGCACTTGAACCCCAACTGTTGATTCATATTTCACATACTTGATGTCCTATAACATGACTCATCTCCCCTCTCAAACCCCCTAATTATGTTTTTTCCTCTCTTGAAACCCACAAAACGAGATCACGCAGGAAAAAAACGTCGCCTATGTTGTGTCTGGAAGCAAAATCTAATGTAGAAAATTGTTTTTCAAGATAAAGCTTTGACACACAGCTGGATCAGAGTAACATTTGCAGGAAGCTGTGCTGCCTCCTTTTAATGCTGCAGCACAGAGACTCACACTTTTCAACAGGCCTCCATGTTTTTTAAAAGAAAAAAGGGTGGGATTACTCCTACTAATCTAATAATACAATAACATGTTATTATATTAAAATTCCACATCATCACTCATGTAGGCTGCTCTCTCTCACACACTCTCACACACACACACACACACACACACACACACCACTTGTTAACACTCACAGGCAGTTTAATGAAGCATATTTTAACGTTAATGGAGATGCTGGTTGGTATCTTACCTTCACCATTGTTCCCAGTGCTTCTCCACTCAATAACACACACCTGGCAGGGAGAAACTTGAGACAGGAGCAGCTTCTGTTTCCGAAACAAACTCTGCTGTGGATTAATGAACGTGTGTGCGTGTCTCTCTCTCTCTCTCTCTCTCTCTCTCTCTGTGTGTGTGTCTGTGTGAGAGAGAAAAGCTGCAGTTCGGCCTGTTTTCTTCTTTCTCGGCTTTTTATCGCATAAAATCTGCAGGTTTTCTAACTTCACTCACAGTTACAGGCGGAGGAGCTACGCAGCTCCCTTTTCTCCCTGCTGGTTCTGCCGACGTGGCGCCTTCAAAGCACACACACACACACACACACACACACACACACACACACACACACACACTAACGCACTAGACTTCCGTTCAGGACCTTCAAAATAAAACCATCCTCGGGTGCTGAGGTGGCCTGAGGGGCTGCAGGAGGAGTCAGGAGTAAATAACATTTCACACATTTCTTATTGTGAACTTCTATTTTATGTTTATGATTATTTAATTTTACAGTTTTTTTAATATTTCGCACTATTGTCTACAAATCTCACTGTTTTTTGTCTGTTTATATATATTTCTATAACTGTACATAGTAGTTTATGTCTATTTTGTTGCTCTTGTTGTCCTGTTTATATATGTTTATTCTGTGTTTGTACATAGAAAGCGACGTAAAAAACTGGAGTCAAATTGACAAAATGTGCACATACCTGTCCAATAAACTGATTTCTGATTCAGATTTTTATTCTAAAAAAGGTGTGTGTACAGACAGGGATCTCCTGTGCCCCCAATCTCCTCCGCAATACCCCAAATTTAACAAATAAGACAGCAGATATTGGTCATATGGTGATGTTTGATGTCTTGTAGTGAATGTATGCCCTCAATTTTACAACTGGAACATGTAAGAATCCCTTTAACTCCACAACAATGATAAATTAAAATGTTAAAAAATAACTGATTATCTATTTCCATATAGTTTTTTTTGTCAAAGCCACAGGGAGCCACTGGAGAGGGATTAATTGATCACTAAATTCATGGCAAACCAAGTTTTCACTTAATATTTTAGTGATCAAACTGCAGTCATTGATTATGTATTGATCTTACAGTATGATCATTTTTTTATTTATATATTCTTTAAATTAATAAACAGATTCTTTGCTCTGGAGATACTTATAGGAGTCTCACTTTTAATTCATATCATGCATATTAATTAATTTCTCTTTGTTCATATGTTTAACATACAAGATCACTTTATGGAGCAAACTAAACTTCAGAAGATATTTAGTGTGATTACACAAACGATGGGACAGTTTCAATATACTTTTTTAAATTGTACCCCCTGTTCCTTTAACCAGGAGAGAAATCCATGTAATCATTTTCATAATTCATCTGACATTGGCTAGTGTTGTTGAAAATGTATTTTGGGCTTTTATTCTGAAGACAGGAAGTAGTTGTGGGCGGTTGATGCTCCGGATCCAGCTCCGGGTCCTCTATCAGCAGCAGCTACAACGAGTTGTTTGAGGCTGAAGGACTGTGTGTGAAGTTTACTGTGAAGGTTTCTGATCCAGACTCAACATGTAAACTGACACACACATTTACACACAGGCCTGTATAGAGTCACCTATAGACCGCAGCCATAAAGGTAAAGATAGTGTGGAGCCAAGGGTCGAGTGCTGCTGGTGATGTTGGCAGCGTGTTTGTCTTCATATAAAAGAACAGACATGTCACCTGTAACACAGGGTACCACAGGGTACCACAGGGTACTACAGGGTACCACAGGGTACCACAGAGTACCACAGGGTACCACAGGGTACTACAGGGTACCACAGGGTACTACAGGGTACCACAGGGTACTACAGGGTACTACAGGGTACCACAGGGTACTACAGAGTACTACAGGGTACTACAGGGTACCACAGGGTACCACAGGGTACCACAGGGTACTACAGGGTACCACAGGGTACTACAGGGTACCACAGGGTACTACAGGGTACTACAGGGTACCACAGGGTACCACAGAGTACCACAGGGTACTACAGGGTACCACAGGGTACTACAGAGTACCACAGGGTACTACAGGGTACCACAGGGTACTACAGGGTACTACAGGGTACCACAGGGTACTACAGAGTACTACAGGGTACTACAGGGTACCACAGAGTACTACAGGGTACTACAGGGTACTACAGGGTACCACAGAGTACTATAGAGTACTACAGGGTACCACAGGGTACCACAGGGTACCACAGAGTACTACAGGGTACTACAGGGTACTACAGAGTACCACAGGGTACTACAGGGTACCACAGAGTACTAAGAGTACACAGAGTACCACAGGGTACACAGAGTACACAGAGTACTACAGGGTACCACAGAGTACACAGGGACCACAGGGTACTAAAGTACACAGGGTACCACAGGGTACTACAGGGTACCACAGAGTACTACAGGGTACCACAGAGTACTACAGGGTACTACAGGGTACCACAGAGTACTACAGAGTACTACAGGGTACCACAGGGTACTACAGGGTACCACAGAGTACTACAGGGTACCACAGGGTACCACAGGGTACCACAGAGTACCACAGGGTACTACAGGGTACCACAGGGTACTACAGAGTACCACAGGGTACCACAGGGTACTACAGGGTACTACAGGGTACCACAGGGTACTACAGAGTACTACAGGGACTACAGGTACCACAGAGTACTACAGGGACCACAGAGTACAAGAGTACTACAGGGTACCACAGGGTACCACAGGGTACCACAGAGTACTACAGGGTACTACAGGGTACTACAGAGTACCACAGGGTACTACAGG